GCTTAGGGTTGGGGTTGGGGTTGGGATTAGGGGTTAGGGTTGTGGTTGGGGTCACAGGGTTATGGTTAGGGTCGGGATTGAGGTCAGGTTTGGGGTTAGGTTTACAGTTAGGTTTGGGGTCAGGGTTGGGGTCACAGTTAAGGTTGGGATTAGGTTTAGGGTTAGGATTGGGGTTGGGGGGGTCAGGGTTGGGGTTAGGTTTACACTTCGGTTTGGGGTCAGAGTTGGGGTAAGAGGGTTACAGTTGGGATTAGGGTTGAGGTTAGGGTGAGGGTTGAGGTTAGCGTTAGGATTAGGGTCAGGGTTGGGGTTGGGATTAGTCTTAGGGGTTAGGGTTGGAGTTGGGGTCAGACTTAGGGTCACAGGGCCAGTATTGGGGTCAGATCTGGGGTCAGGTTTGGGGTTAGGTTTACAGTTAGGTTTGGGGTCAGGGTTGGGGTAAGAGTTAGGGTTACAGTTGGGATTAGGGTTGAGATTAGGGTGAGGGTTGAAGTTAGTGTTAGGATTAGGGTCAGGGTTGGGGTTGGGCTTAGGGTTAGGGTTGGGATTAGGTTTAGGGGTTAGGGTTGGAGTTGGGGTCAGAGTTAGGGTCACAGGGTTACAGTTAGGGTCGGGATTGAGGTCAGGATTGGGGTTAGGTTTACAGTTAGGTTTGGGGTCAGGGTTGGGGTCACAATTAAGGTTAAGGTTGGGATTAGGTTTAGGGTTAGGGTTGGAGTCAGAGTTAGGGTCACAGAGTTAAGGTTAGAGTTAGGATTTTGGAGTCAGGATTGAGGTTAGGGTCACAGTTTTAGGGTCATGGGGTTGAGGTTGGGATCAGGTCACAGTGAGGTTTAAAGTTGAGGTTGTGGTCAGGGCTGGGGTTAGGATCATGTTTAGAGTTAGGGTTAGGGTTGGGATTAGGGTCACCCAGGGTTAGGGTTGAAGTTAGGGTTAGGATTGGGTTGGGTTGATTTGGGGGTCAGGATTGGGGTTAGGATCATAGTTAGGGTTAGGGTTAAGGTTGGCTTCAGGTACTGGGTTAGCATTGATTTGGGGTGTAGGGTTAGGGTCAGGGTCAGGGTCAGGGTCATGGTCAGTCACAGTCAGGACTAGGGTTAGGGCTGGGTTTAGGGTCAGAGTTAGGTTTAAAGTCAGGATTAGGGTTGGGGTCAAAATTAGGGTTAAGGTCAGGGTTAGGGTCAATACTAGAGTTAGGATCAGGATTTTGGTTAGGGTCAGGATCATGCTTAAGGTTAGGCTTAGGGTTAGGGTCAGGATTAGCATTAGGATCAAGTTTAGGGTCACGGTTTAGGGCTGAGGTCAGCATTGGGGTTAAGATTGGTGTTAGGGTCAAGAGTAGCGTTAGAGTCAAGGTCATGGTTGGGGTCATGGTTAGGATTTGGGTCAGGATCACGGTTGGGGTCGTGGTTAGGGTTTAGATCAGGGTTGAGCTTAGGGTCAGGGCAGGGTCTGCATTGGGGTTAGAGTTGAGCTCAGGCTCAGGCTTGGGGTGACCCCACACTTTGCCTTACAGAAATCAGTCCTGGCCGCGCTCTACAGCTCCGAGGGCTCTGTGATGGAGGTGAGGCACCCCTCACACCCCCCCTGCTCTGGGGACACCACGGTGGCTCTCAGCAGAGGGTGCTTTGTCCCCATCCCCATCCCACTGTTGGCCATTGTCCCCTCTTCCCCCGCAGCGGCACCACTTTGCCCAGGCCATCGCCATCCTCAACAGCCAGGGCTGCAACATCTTCGACCACTTCTCCCGCAAGGTGAGACCCCCATCTGACCCTCATCACCCCGCGTCCCCCCCAAAAAAACACCCCACATCCCACCTTGCACCCCATATCCCGTTCCGTGTCCCTGCAGGACTATCAGCGCATGCTGGACCTCATGCGGGACATCATCCTGGCCACCGACCTGGCCCACCACCTACGCATCTTCAAGGACCTGCAGAAGATGGCAGAAGGTGATGCTGGGCTGGTGGCACCCCTCGTGTCGTGTCCCTTTGTCCCCATGGGGATTTGTCACCGCCTCTTGTCCACATTCGGTTGTGTCGTGTCCCCATTGGGTTGTGTCGTGTCCCCATTGGGTTGTGTCGTGTCCCCTTGTCCCCGTTGTGTTGTGTCCCTGTTGGGTTGTGTCGTGTCCCCTTGTCCCCATTGGGTTATGTGATGTCCCCATTGGGTTGTGTCGTGTCCCCTTGTCCCCATTGGATTTTGTGACGTCCCTGTTGGGTTGTGTCATGTCCCCTTCTCCCTGTTGGGTTGTGTCGTGTCCCCATTGGGTTGTGTCATGTCCCCTTGTCCCCATTGGGTTATGTGATGTTCCCATTGGGTTGTGTCATGTCCCCTTTTCCCCTTGGGTTGTGTGACGTCCCCATTCGGTTGTGTCATGTCCCCGTGTCCCCATTGGGTTGTGTCGTGTCCCCTTGTCCCCATTGGGTTGTGTCATGTCCCCTTGACCCCATTGGGTTGTGTCGTGTCCCCTTGTCCCCATTGGGTTGTGTCACATCCGCATTGGGTTGTGTCGTGTCCCTGTTGGGTTGTGTCGTGTTCCCTTGTCCCCATTGGGTTGTGCTGTGTCCCCATTGGGTTGTGTGGTACCCCCTTGTCCCCATTGGGTTGTGCCATGTCCCCTTGTCCCCATTGGGTTGTGTCGTGTCCCCATTGGGTTGTGCTGTATCCCCTTGTCCCCACTGGGTTATGTTGTGCCCCCTTGTCCCCATTGTGTTGTGCCGTGTTCCCTTGTCCCCATTGTGTTGTGTTATGTCCCCATTGGGTTGTGTCATGTCCCCTTGTCCCCATTGGGTTGTGGCATGTCCCTATTGAGTTGTGTCATGTCCCCTTTTCCCCTTGGGTTGTGTGACATCCCTATTGGGTTGTGTCGTGTCCCCTTGACCCCAGTAGGTTGTGTCACATCCCCAATGGGTTGTGTTGTGCCCCTTTGTCCCCATTGGGTTGTGTCATGTCCCCATTGGATTGTGTCCTGTTCCCTTGTCCCCATTGGATTGTGTCATGTCCCTATTGGGTTGTGTCATGTCCCCTTGTCCCCATTGAGTTGTGTCGCATCCCCATTGGGTTGTGTTGTGTCCCCTTGACCCCATTGGGTTGTGTCGTGTCCCTGTTGGGTTGTGTCATGTCCCCTTGTCCCCATTGGGTTGTGTCATGTCCCCATTGGATTGTGCTGTGTCCCCTTGTCCCCATTGGGTTCTGTCGTGTCCCCATTGGGTTGTGTCATGTTCCCTTGTCCCCATTTTGTTGTGTTGCATCCCCACTGGGTTGTTTCATGTCTCCTTGTCCCCACTGGGTTGTGCCACGTCCCCTTGTCCCCATTGGGCTGTGTCACATCCCCTTGTCCCCATTGGGTTGTGCCACGTCCCCTTGTCCCCATTGGATTTTTGGCTTTGGGGCACTGAGCTGCATCCGCTGGGGCTGCTCAGGGGACACCCCACACCAAGGCTGGGAGGTGGCACAGGGATTGACTCACAGGGACAGCGGGGCTGCGGGGTCCCTCCTGAGCCCCCTGCCCTACATCTGCCCCTCATCCTCCCCCCAGTCGGCTACGACCCCAAGAACAAGCAGCACCACAGCCTGCTGCTCTGCCTGCTGATGACGTCCTGCGACCTCTCCGACCAAACCAAAGGATGGAAAACCACCAGGAAAATCGCAGTGAGTGCCATGGGGGTCTGCTCCCACCCCCACCCCTCCCCACCCACAGTGACCCAATGGGAAACCCACGTGGCAGCCCCATAGGACGCTCCTGCACGCATCCTGCCGAGCCACGTGCCCTATGGTGATGGATCCATAGGGTGGGCGGGTGGGAGGGGGCACTGTGGGGGTGTGGGACCCCCCGTGTGACATCCTGTCCCCTGCAGGAGCTGATCTACAAGGAGTTCTTCTCCCAAGGAGACCTGGTAGGTGCTGTGGGGATGGAGCTCTCCATTCTTTTGGGGGGGCACAGGTGAAGCGATCCGACACTGACCCCCCTCACACCCCAAATATTTTGCTGGTGGTCCTATAGGAGAAAGCCATGGGCAACCGCCCTCTGGAGATGATGGACAGGGAGAAAGCCTACATCCCTGAGCTGCAGATCAGCTTCATGGAGCACATCGCCATGCCCATCTACAAGTGAGTGCCCCAAGGCAGCACCCCAACCGGGGGGAGGGGGGGACACGATCCCATTGCCCCCATTGCATCCCATGGCTCCAGGGTGGGGACATGATCCCACTGCCCCTATTGCATCCCATAGTGTTGTAATAGGGTCACGTTCCCATTGTCCCCATTGCATCCCATAGTGTTGTAATAGGGTCACGTTCCCATTGTCCCCATTGCATCCCATGGTGTTGTAATAGGGTCATGTTCCCATTTCCCCCATTGCATCCCATAGTGTTGTAACAGGGTCACGTTCCCATTGAGTCCCATTGCATCCCATAGTGTTGTAATAGGGTCACGTTCCCATTGCCCCCATTGCATCCCATGGCTCTGGGTTGGGATGGGATCCCATTCCCATTGCCCCCATTGCATCCCATAGTGTTGTAATAGGGTCACGTCCCCATTGTCCCCATTGCATCCCATGGTGTTGTAATAGGGTCACATTCCCATTGCCCCCATTGCATCCCATGGCTCTGGGTTGGGATGGGATCCCATTTCCATTCCCCCATTGAGTCCCATGGCTCTGGGTTGGGACGGCATCCCATTCCCACTTCACCCCATAGCTCTACACCGGGTTGCAGCCCCCCCATTGCTTTTCCAGCATTGGGGTTTTTGGGATCCACGCTGCCGTTTCCCCTACAGGTTGCTGCAGGATCTGTTCCCCAAAGCCTCGGAGCTCTACGAGCGCGTCGCCAGCAACCGGGAGCAGTGGACCAAAGTGTCCCACAAATTCACCATCCGCGGGCTGCCCAGCAACAACTCCCTGGACTTTTTGGATGAGGACTACGACCCACAAGCCCCAGACCCACAAATGAACGGGTGCCTGGATGCTGAGGGGCACCCCGAGTCTGGGGCAGAGTGAGGATGGCATTTGGGGTGGGGGGAGAGGGAGGGGACCGGGATCTGGGACAGGACGAGGTGATGATGGGGTGAGATCCACGCCCTGGTGCCACCCGTGGGATGCTGTCCCCTCTCTCTGTGTCACCTCAGCCTGGTGGCATTTGGGGTCGGCGGTGTCCCCATGGGGGATGTTTTCCCTGGCTTCCCCAGTGCTGCTGTCCCATGGAATGGGGCCACTGGGACACGTTGTGGGGTGACGGGGAGAGATTTGGGGGTGATGGGATGGGTTGGGGACAACCCACAGCTTCTGGAGGGTGGGGGGCTGGTGGCTCTGCTCCTGGGGGCAGCAGCGATGGAGGGACCCCCAGAACCCTTTTGGGGTTGGCAGGTCGGGTGTCCCATGGCTGTCCCAATCCTGCAGAACCCCGCAAGGGATGGGGGGATCTGGGGGGCTGGGGGCTCCTGGTTCAGGATCTGTGGGTCCAGGGGAGCTGGATGTGGGGGGTGGCAGTGATTCCTGCTCACCATGCTTGGACCCTGTTGGTGTGCCATTGTCCCATCAGCTGCCATGCATGGACACTGCCATCCCATTGGGGTCCCCAGGATCCTACAGACCCCATGCATGGACATTGCCATCCCATTGGGGTCCCCAGAATCCTACAAACCCCCATGCATGGACACTGCCATCCCATTGGGATTCTGCTCCTACAGGCCCCCATGCATGGATGCTGCCATCCCATTGGGGTCCCCAGAATCCTACAGACCCCCATGCATGGACTCTGCCATCCCATTGGGGTTCTGCTCCTACAGACCCCCATGCATGGACACTGCCATCCTATTGGGGTCCCCAGAATCCTACAGACCCCCACGTATGGACACTGCCATCCCACTGGGATCCCTCTGCTCCTACAAACCCCCACGTATGGACACTGCCATCCCATTGTGACCCCTTTCGCCCTATTGATTGCTGTGTATGGACACTGCCATCCCATTGTGGTCCCTTTGGCCCTATCAAACGCTCTGTGTGGATGCTGCCATCTTCCCCCTGACCCCAAAGACCACCATGCATGGCCCCTGCTAACATCCCCTTGACCCTACCACCCCACAGGCCACCACGCATGGCCCCTTCCACCCTCCCATGGTCCCTCTGATCCCGAAGACCACCATGCATTGATTTTGGTGACCCCCCCAAGTCCTTCTGGCCCTACAGACCACCATGCATGGCCCCTTCCAGCCTTCCATGGTCCTCTGATCCCAAAGATCATGCATTGACTTTGGTGAGCTCTCCATGTCCTTCTGGCCCTAAAGATCACCAGCAAGGCCCTTTCCATGGTTGCTCTGATCCCAACGACCATCATGCATTGACTTTGGTGACCTTCCCACATCCTTCTGGCCCTACTGACCACCATGCATGGCCACTATCAGCATCCCATTGACCTTTCTGTCCTATAAACCACCATGCATTGACTTTGACGAGCTCCCCAAGTCCTTTTGGCCCTAAAGACCACCAGCATGGCGCCTTCCATCCTGCCATGGTCCCTCTGATCCCAAAGATCATGCATTGACTTTGGTGACCTTCCCACGTCCTTCTGACCCTACTGACCACCATGCATGGCCCTTCCACCCTCCCATGGTCCTCTGATCCCAAAGATCATGCATTGACTTTGGTGATCTCCTCACATCCTTCTGGCCCCCAAAACCACCATACGTGGCCCCTTCCACCCTCCCACGGTTCCTCTGATCCCACTGACGACCATGCATTGACTTTGGTGACCTCCCCATGCTCTTCTGACCCTACAGACCACCATGCATGGCCCCTTCCACCCTCCCATGGTCCTCTGATCCCAAAGACCACCATGCATTGACTTTGGTGAGCTCTCCACGTCCTTCTGGCCCTACTGACCGCCATGCATGAATCATGGTGGCCTTTGTGGTCCCCGTGGTGGCCACGCACGGACCCTACAAGTCTCCTATGGCTCCCACCCCACTGACTGTTGGGTCCCCATCCCTTGAGGTGCCCAGTTGGCCCCAAATCCCCAATGCTGCAACGACGATTCGTCCGCTTCGGTGTGAGAGTCAACGGGATCCCCCCCAAAGCCACTGTGGGGCCACGTCCGTTCTGCCTTACCTCCTTGGAGATGCCTTCAGAGAGACGCTTTGTACGGCCCCGCTTCGTGCCCCACTGCTTCAACCCCAACCTTCCCACGGGGCGGGAAGGAGCTGACCCCAAAGGCAAAAAAATATATATATCAACCCCAAAAGGATACAGGAGAAAGCCAGCACGGTGCTTGCCCCAGCGCCAGCACCGTCCCCTTCATCCACGCCGCGTCCCCAATGGTGGGGAGGGGGCTGTATGGGGTCAGCTCCGTGCCCACCACTGGATGCTTTCGGGGCGAGAAACCACATTTGAACGCGACGTGGTTCGGATGGAGCTCCCCAACTCCAGCTCCGTCCCCACGGCGGTGTGACGCGGGTTGGTGACCCACAGCCCGTGGCCACGCGTCCCCTCGGTTATGGGGTGGGTGGCAGACCCCCAAACCCCGCTGTGTGCCCTGTGCCTCGCGTGCACCCCGCAGCTTCCGTGGTTGCGCCGCGCTCGGCTCCGACGGGGCTGAGCGGGAGCGGATCTGTCCTCCTCTTCCTCTTCTTTGGTATTGCCTTTTTTTTTGGTTGGTTTATTTTATTTTATTTTATTTTATTTTATTTTATTTTTTTTCTTTTTTTTTTGGTGGTGGGTTTCGGTTTTCCTAATAAATTTCGTACGTCGATCTCCCGGCGGTGGTAGAGGTGCATTGTGAGTCGTCTTGGGGAGCCAATGGGGACACCGTGCTGTGCAGTGCCACCAAGGGGTTCCCAATGCCATGGGGTGGCATCAAGGGGTTCCCAATGCCATGGGGTGGCAGTAAGGGGTTCTCAATGCCATAGGGTGCCATCAAGGGGTCACCAACGCCTTGGGTTGGCATCAAGGAGTCACCAATGCCATTGGGTGGAACCAAGGGGTCACCAATGCCATGGGGTGTTAACAAGAGGTGCCCAATGCCATGAGATGGCACCAAGGGGTCCCCAATGCCATGGGGTGGCAACAAGGGGTCCCTAACAACACGGGGTGGCACCAGGGAGTTCTCAATGCCTTGGGGTGGCACCAAGGGGTCCCCAACACCATGCGGTAGCACCAAGTGGTCACCAATGCCATTGGGTGGCACCAAGGGGTCACCAATGCCATGGGGTGTTAACAAGAGGTGCCCAAAGCCATGAGGTGGAAACAAGGGGTCCCCAATGCCATTGGGTGCCATCAAGAGGTCCCCAACACCATGGGGTGGCATCAAAGGGTTCTCAATGCCATGGGGTGGCACCAAGGGGGCACCGATGCCATGGGGTGTCAACAAGAGGTCCTCAATACCATGGGGTGGCAACAAGGGGTTCTCAACACCATGGGGTGGCACCAAAGGGTCCCCAACGCCATGAGGTGGCAACGAGGGGTCCCCAATGCTATGGGGTGGCAACAAGAGGTCCCCCACACCATGGGGTGGCACCAAAGGGTCACCAATACCATTGGGTGGCACCAAGGGGTCACCAGTGCCATGGGATGTTAACAAGGGATTCCCAATGCCATGAGGTGGCAGTGGCACCAAGGGGTCACCAATGCCATGGGGTGGCACCAAGGGGTTCTCAATGCCATGGGGTGCCATCAAGAGGTCACCAAAGTCTTGGGATGGCATCAAGAGGTCCCTAATACCATGGGGTGACAACCAAGGGGTTTCAACAACTTGGGGTGGCACCAAGGATGTCTCAATGCCATGAGGTGGCAACAAGGGGTCACCAATGCCATTGGGTGCCATCAAGGGGTCACCAACGCCTTGGGATGGCACCAAGGGGTCACCAATGCCATGGGATGTTAACAAGGGATCCCCAATGCCATGGGGTGGCACCAACGGGTCCCCGATGCCATTGGATGGCAACAAGGTGTCCCCAACGCCATGGGGTGGCACCAAGGGGTTCTCAATACCATGGGGTGCCATCAAGGGGTCACCAATGCCTTGGGGTGGCATCAAGGGGTTCACCAATGCCATTGGGTGGCACCAAGGGGTCACCAATCCCATGGGGTGTTAACAAGAGGTCACGACGGCCATGGGGTGGCAACAAGAGGTCCTCAATACCATGGGGTGGCAACAAAGGGTCCCCAACACCATGGGGTGGCACCAAGGGGTCACCAATGCCATGGGGTGGCAATGAGGGGTCCCTAACACCATGGGGTGGCAACATGGGTTCTCAACACCATGGGGTAGCACCAGGGGGTTCTCAATGCCTAGGGGTGGCAATAAGGGGTCCCCAACGCCATGGGGTGGCACCAAAGGGTCACCAATGCCATTGGGTGGCACCAAGGGGTCACCAGTGCCATGGGGTGGCAACAAGGGGTCCTCAATACCATGGGGTGGCAACAAGGGGTCACCAATACCATGGGGTGGCACCAAGGGGTCCCCAACGCCATGGGGTGGCAACATGGGGTTCTCAATGCCATGGGGTGGCAACAAAAGGTCTCCAACTCCATAGGGTGACACCAAGGGGTCACCAATGCCATGGGGTGTTAACAAAAGGTGCCCAATGCCATGGGGTGGCAACAAGGGGTCTCAACACCATGGGGTGTCTCCAAGGGGTCTCAACACGATGGCGTGGCAACAAGGGGTCACCAATGCCATTGGGTGCCATGAAGGGGTCACCAATGCCTTGGGATGGCACCAAGGGGTCACCAATGCCATGAGGTGTTAACAAGAGGTGCCCAAAGCCATGAGGTGGCAACAAGGGGTCCCTGATGCCATGGGATGTTAACAAGGGGTCCCCGATGCCATTGGACGGCAACAAGGGGTCCCCAACACCATGGAGGGACAACATGGGGTTCTCAATGCCATGGGGTGGCAACAAAAGGTCTCCAACTCCATAGGGTGACACCAAGGGGTCCCCAATGCCATGGGGTGGCAACGAGGGGTTCTCGCAAACCCCTTGCAAACACACACAGGGCAATGCACGTACGGACATGCAAAGGAGCTGCATGCATGCACTCACTATATGTGCACACACAC